TAAAAGGAAAAATTAAATAAGGCAACAATTAAAATATACAAATGAGGAAACAAAATAAAATCCTAATTTACCAAAAATAAAAAATTACAAAATCAAATCACTATTAATTTTAAAATTAAAAAGGAAAAAAAAATTAAGAATAAAACCAATTCTAAAAGTGTGAGATTTTTTTTTTTTTTTACAAGACTACAACTAAAAACAAATTGAAGAATGTGTGAACGTGAAAAAAAAAAAGAAAGTAGGAATACACTTTTAGAATTGAGAACTTGAGAACGTGCAACAAAAGTTTTTTTTTTTTTTTGGTAACAAGACTAAGAAAAAAAAATGAAGAACGTGGAACCAGCAACAAAAGTTTTTTTTTATGATAAAAGAAAAAAATAAATAAATAAGTAAAAAGAAAACCTATCAATGTGGTGAAGAAAACTTAGCAAACACAGGAAACTAAAGACAGACTTCAAACTAATACGACAAGATGTTTTTGTTTTTTTTTTTTGAAACGTGCCAAGCAAAAATAAATAAATAAATAAAAGATGAATAGTACCTACCTCTTTGGCTAATTATCTACTGAACAATCTTGTTGACGCACCTCCCCGGCAACGGCGTCAAAATTTGATTACGCCCAAACGTGTACAAAAACAAGCGGTCAATTGTAGTACAATTTGAACGGTCGATCCCACGAGGAAGTGTTAAATTGAACAAGAAATTATTAGCAAATAAAAAGCGTTAGGCAAGTAAGCAATTAAACAAAGAAAATGAATGAGTGTTTTTGATGATTTTTTAAACAATTTAAAATGGAGAAAATTCAATAAATAAAAGTGGTAAGGTTTTAAGAATCCTCCATATGCTTTGTTCACCTATTTGGATTTTGATTCATAAATTGACTCAATTAAAAGTTTCACATCCCAAACAAACAATCAGAAAATAAATATTTGAAGAACATATGAATTAAAAATGTATTCGAGTAAATAAAATTCTAACGTTTAGAATTAGGAAAAATTATCTTATGAGAAATCCAAGAGCGACAATATACCGTTGGCAATAATGCAGTAAAAGACTACTCATAAAA